TAATGTTATAGTCAGTTTGCTCTGCCATAACAAAATAACATAAACTGGATAGATTAAACCACAGAAATTTATTTTTCATGGTTCTAGAGTCTGGAAAGGCCAAGATCAAGGCACTGGAAGATCCAGTATCTGATGAGGATCCTTTTCTGGTGTGCAGACAGTTGTCTACTGGCTGTATCCTCACAAAGCAGTGAGAAAGAGATTATCTCTCTGGTGTCTCTTCTAAGGGCACTAATTCCATTCAGAGGGGCTACTCCCTCATAACCTAATTGCCTCCCCAAAACTTCACCTCTAGATACCATCACATTGGGGATTAGGTCCTAAACATATGGATGTAGAGGGGGCACATACATTCTGTCATAACCATTAAAATAACACATGAATTCACAAACTCGGTAGGTCTTGTGAAAATTAGGAGAGTAGAGCCCCAGTTACCAAGTATGTATTGAAGTAGATGGAAGTATTAGTGAATACTTCACTCTAAAATGTTTCTGAATTTTTCCCACTGCGTCTCTTTTTCATGATGAAATAATAATTTGTTTGTTAAGTTTTGGTAATGGTTTCCTTAATTTCCCATTCTTTATTATTGCTTCACCATAAACAAAATTCAAGTTGACTGGAAATACAAAGTACAGCCAACCAACCAAGCAACCAAACAAACAAAAACTTAGAACAGGCTTCCCTGAATGTATAGCAGAGTATATGACTGGTGTTTTAGGAGCTGAATCTGGCCAGTGAACTTTAGTCCTTTAAGTAGAGGAGGATTGCACATTGGGTATTAAAAAAAATTGCCAACATAAAAATCAGGAGATTTTACACATGAATCCACATATCTAGTTTTTTTTTTTTTCTGTAAGTCCCAGTATTGGATTAGCCTTGGATTTTGTATTTTTGAATGACAAAAATGGATTTGAAAGAACAGTGGAAAGCGGGGTGGGGCATGTATTCTTCAGTTCACTATTAGCATCATGGTTTTTTCGCAACGTTTTTTATTTTACTCATGTGTGAAATGAGGCTCTACAGGAGCATTTTTAGCCATAATGAAAACAGAACCTTCAGAAACATGTGTAGATAGGTATTTTAATTCTAATTACCCATCACATCCTTGTGTTTATAGGCAAAGCATAGATGACTATCATTTCACCTATTCGCCCCTAATAAACTTTAAAAAGTATTTTCTGCACAAGCGTAGTTGACTAAGAACTCCAGTGAGAGGCACACAGAAATTGAAATTGCCTTTTTGAGGTAGAAAAGGTGAAAACAGCTGAGCTTGGTTTCATACCAAGATGATGGCAGGTAAACCTCTAAAGCACGGTGGTAGCTAAAATTTTTAGAGATAAATAATTATTTGATGAGAAACGGTTAAATCAGAAGTCATTTCTGTTTGAGGCTAATGATCATCTCTCAAAGAAAAAAATTAATCAAGATAACATCAGGGTGATTTTTGATATAAAAATATAAATATATTCCTGACTGGTGAACAGAGCTCTGGCTCAAGATATATCATAAAAAGTAATGATCCTCTGACCTCCCAATTTCTATATAAGAAGAAGTTTATGAATTCATATTCCTTAAATGAAGAGAATAGTAAAAGACCTATGACAAGGTTCCTGTTATAACATCACATATCTAATCAGGCACAATTACAGGCGTAAGCCACGGAGCCCAGCCTGAGAGTATAAATAGGTATACATTGAACTAATTCCCATATTGCCTCACAGCTGTAGGCAGTTAGGAGACCAAAAAGACTGACTAGAAATCATTATCATGTCTCCTTCTATAACAAAATAATAAATCAAAAACAGCACTGCCTTTATAGGGAAATGACATGAATGTTAAAGACTAAAATAATACGAGGGTGGTGAATCATATTATAATATTACTCTGTTTTCTTATTTGTCTTTGCAGTTGCTTCTTGGATAATAACAATGGATTACTACAAATTTAGTGAAGTTGTGATAACCTATTGCAGGTAGTACTTTAAATGGGGTCTCAGTTCATTCGTGGTATGTGCTTTACAGACAGTAACCTGGTCAATGCATTTTTTTCCATTTAAATTTAAAAACTAAAGAAAGAGAATATAATAGAATAGTAACTGAGGCAGTAATTTCTGCCTTACAAAATAGAGGCTTTCACCTTATAGGATAGTTTCAAGGACAGTCTTACATCACAATTTAGTTTCAAAAAAAACACATGACTTTCTTACCATCCTATGAGTCATCATGCATGTATTAAACTGATGATTTATTCCTATGGATTCACAAAGCAAGATGTACAAAGTACCCCAGGTGCTTTGGGAAGTGACTGATGACAGAAGCTGGGAGATATATTTTATGAAGATACAGGAGCCTGCCTCCTCCTTTAATTCCCTGCAGACCCAGTAGTCTGAGTATTTTGACAGGCTTTCTCCAGATCAGAAAACAAGTTGTTTCTCCTTGTACTTCCTAACATAGAGAGAAGGCAGGGGACTCAATGCTAATTTTTTTAAGTCATAAAATATGTGTTTGGGTGTTATATGTTTATACATATATACACACACACATACACACACATAAAAGAGTGTTCTGAATATGCTATTCATGTATATAGAATACATTATTATTTTACACTCTATATATGTAGTAGAATACTAATATATATAAATTTCTTAGAATACCAAGCATCTAATATCTATCTAGATGGTCTAGGCTATGGGGTGAGAACATTTTTCACTTGTTTGTTTTAATCTAGTGGATCCAATGGTTCATTAAAGATGGTGGTGTGGGATTTTGGAGTAAACCTTGACAGGTAAACTTCATCTGGTGCTTTGAAAATATCAGAACAGGTCACTATTTTTATTTTGAGAAATAACTCCTACTTTGGCTCTGGAGGACACCGAATAGCTCACCATGGATACCAGGTTACTGTATTCTTGAGCTGATCTTTTAATGGTTATTATCTATTTTTCTAGCTATAAACTTAGGTCTAATCAACTGGATTGGACTCAAACAGGTCCAAATGGCATAAGTAAACTGCATAATCAGGTTGATCAAACTTCTAGTGTGCCCACAACTGCTACAGTGTTGTTCTTCTCTGCAGCTCTGACTATGTCCTCATGGAAAATGTTCTACAAACCACTGACTTTAAATTAAAGATCCTGGAAAAGCTTAAAAATGCCTTTTGTGATCTGGCTGCTAGTGCCAGCCAGAAGTGAACAGTCCTAAAAATCTTCACTAAAATGTGATTGAAAGTGTCATGAAAAGTTAATGAAAACAAAATGTTATGTACATTACACACTTAACAGGATTATGTAAATACTGGTGATGAAATAACGACAGAAAATAAGGATTTTAATTTAAAGAAAACAAAATGTTAGCTACAAAGACTCTTAACAGGATTATGTAAATACTGCTGAACCAAATAATGACAGAAAACATTGATTGTGCCTTAAGGTATAATTTATTGTAAAGAAAAAAGTAAATAATCTCAGTCACTGCACACAATAATTTGAAATGATGGCACTTACAAAATAGGCAATTCAAAGACTTTTTAAACAGTTTCTATTAGAGAAACTTAGTAAAGACTTTAATAGCTTCTAATTAGGTGCCCTCCATATGGCATGACACAACTGGAATTTAGACAATAAACTCTCTCAGAAAATTTAGCTTAAGAAAAAGAATGCTATTCTATTAAGTAGATAATATAAGAGGAACAATTTCCTTCAATATGGGAGTTTGCTATTCTAAAACAACACTCAAAGCCTTCAGATAAGTTGATTTTCCATGATAGGAGAAATTCAGACAATGAAAATTTCAGTCATATCTGTAAATAGAAATAGAAATATGTGGTTAGTTTTATTAAATATTTTTGAAGAAAAGAGAAATTCTTATGATAAAACACATTTTATTATTGTCTCTTCATATTAGACAAGCTCACAATGTTATTTATGCTTTCCTCTGACATACATATCCATTGTTCTTGGTTTTCAAGCTATAAAGACAATTTTATTACTAAATTTTATTTTTTGTGGTATCATTGAATATATGGCAAGGCAATTAGAGTAAAAGGCTTCACATAGGTTAGAGTTTCATCATTATCCTTGGTTTAATCTATTAGAAGGGAAGTTTCCCCATTTGGAAAAGGAAACATACACACACACACACACACACACACACACACACACACACACACACATAATTAGAAGCACCAATGTAGTGGATGAAAATAATTAAACTTATAGACCTTTTCAACTGGTGTTGACAGACAAATACTTGATTTCACTATGTGACTTTTTAAACGTGTCTATTTGACCACAAGAAATAAGATCATGGTTAGACACATAATTTCCAAACTTACCAAGGGCCATATCTGTGGCGTTCCTGAGAAGTGACTTGATTCTTCTGAAAGAACAAAAGTTGTTATAGTCATGTGATTAAAGGAAGTCAGCAATAAAGTTTTTCTGAAGAAAAGTCAACTTCTACCAGTTCAGTGTTTATTTTGCCCACAATACACTAACAAAGATTACTATATTTGACAACCCTCAGGGTAATAATAAATAAGGATTGTTAGAAAGTTTCCAGTAAGCAGAAAGGTTAGGATTTGAATTTAGTGCTACTGAGTACTAAAATATGAGCTATATTACCTACCCAGCATTTTTGTATTTATCATAGGTATAACCAGAAGGAAGTCACTTAAAGATTAGTAAAAGTGCAAAAAGGATATTGTTAAATTACATGTTAGAAGCCTTCACATTTTTAACTTGAAAAGAAGTTGTTTTCTCCCCTCATTAGAATGAATTTCACTTATAGAATAGATAATGCTCTTCCACATGTTACTAAGAAATTGGTGAGTATTAGCTACAGGTGACAGAAAATATTACCAATTTTTGATTTGAGAGAATATTAGTCCTTTGCAGTAGGTGTTGATTTGCCATGTTTAATCTAAATCTGTTCTTATGGTATTACCTCTAGGCTATTTTATTTCCTTTGGTAGAATTTCAAGATGCAGTAATTTAAATGAACTTACCACCACTGCAGCATGACATTAGTTTTTTCATAATTCTCAGGGATGATGGGACTGGAGATGTCGGAAAATGGTGGGAAAGGAAGATTCTGCCGGATCTGTGGATAGTACCAAACAGCATAGGGGTAGGCAGCAAGTTGGCTGAGCTGTTGGAAAGGCTAGAGGGAAAGACATTAGAAAAGGAACAGTGTATGAGTGATTGCTGTTTTCAGTCTCTGAAAAATATTAATACATTTCATTCATTTCCAAGAAGCCTGTTAGCATCACAAAAAATGATTACTCTGTGAGGGAAAAGAAGAAATTAAAATCTTCTATGGTGAACCATGTTGAAGAAACTTTCAGTAGGTGCCCTTTTAAGGTGCCTGAGGGGCAATGAGTAAATTGCTTTTTAAAGGACGCTATTTAAAACTGAACTCCAAGAACCCACATTACTCACACGTTCACTTATCAGAGCCCAGAAGAGAGTAGTAGCCTACATTTCACAATTATTTACTTTAAAAACTCATAGATATTTTTGGCATTTTGATCTATAATTTTCTTTAAAGCCACAGGGGTCAAAGGACAGGCCCTATACCCAGGGTCAATATAGCTGACTTTCAGAAATGCCAGGAATAGAAAGAAAATAATTCAATTCCAAGCCTAGTGTTCTTTTCAAACAGTAGAGTTTTGGAGCCCAAACTGTTTTCCTTTATATAATTTTGGAATAGTGGCCTCTATTGATTTATAAGATTACACTTAATTGTTTTTATGTACCAATAATTGCATTGTACTTAGAAACAGTTTGATATAATTCTCTACATATTTAGGTGAATGTTCTTTGCTGGAATGAGGAAAAACCTTAAAAGCATTTCAAGTTTTGCTATGGACAGTTGCCTATGTAAAGATTAAAACAAATATGACATTTGGATTATTTTTTAAGATATTTTTAACTCACCTCAAGATAGAGCTTGAGCTGGCCATGCTCCTTAATAGAGAGATAGAGAGAAAGAGACACAGAGAGAGAGAGAGACAGAGAGAGAGAGAGAGAGAGAGAGAGAGAGAGAGAGA